CCTCACTTACTGACCTCCCTTTGGCTCCTAAGTTATTTTCTGAAAGACCAGCCAAAGTGTCTTTAAATTGTAAATAGAAACTGTTAAGCATTCCTGAAAGCCAGTAGAATTATACCTCCTCAGGGCCAGGTTTGTTATCCTAAGAAACTTCCACAACCTGTATCCATCAAAGAGAGGCTTTTATTTATTTATTTAAGAACAATACAATCAAGAGAATTGATGGTTCGTTAAAATAATCATAATCATAATAATAAAAGGAAGCATGGTTCATTGCGCCAAGAGTTTCTATTCAAACTCAGGATTAGTGTTTCTATTTCTTATTTTATATTTTTGTCTCTTGTCTCAAGCTGAAAATGTAGCTTTTAGTCTCACCATAAGGACCTTTGGTGGCCCAATGACGAAGCACTCAGCTGCCAACCGAAAGGTCAGTGGTTTGCAGCCACGAGCAGCTCTGTGGGGGAGAAGACTTAATGATCTGCTCCCACAGAGATTACAGCCTAGGAAACCCTGTGGGGGACTTTCTAGTCCACAATACCATAACCATAGGTTCTTATTTGCTGTATTCTACTTTACATAATCATTCCCGAGTGGAAATGTCTATATTTTTACGAAGACCAAGATTACTACAATGAAAGATTTTGGTCAGTACTTTTTGTCCTGAGAACACAATTCACCAGACAGTCAAATTGCTGGTTTTCAAGTCACTTGAAATAACCCTTTTCTGTAAGGCTAAGCCACAAACTTGACCTAGAACTGAGTTCACTTGTTTCATCCTGCTTTCCATTTTTAGGAATTATTATTTTTTTCTCTCTCGATGGATTTGGGGTTTGTAAATCCCATCGCTCCCATGCAAAAGGCGCAAGCCCATTTAGAGAGGGCTACCTGTTATTCCCATGCCTTCCCTCCCTGGATGACACTCATTTTTTATGTCACTTTTTAATTTTTTTAGAAAAACACATGTTCGCACTACTTGTCCCCCTTCTTGTCCCCCCCTTCTTTTGCATCATGCTATTTTTTCCTTCCACAACGTCCTGAGATCATTCCATAGCCAAGAATAGAAACAGGCCGTACACCTTTCACAGCTGTGTACCACTCACAGTGTAGCTTGCTGTGCCTAGTCTCCTCAGCCCGAGTCCTGATGCCGCTTCTGTCTTGAACAGAAAAGGAGCCTTTCTCCCTTCTCAGCCCTCTTGACAGCTGCTTTTGGTTGGCGGCCGTCCCGCACCTACACAGGAAGACGGTGGCCGCAAAGAGTCAATCAACTCTAAGCTCCAACTTATTATGAAAAGTGGAAAATACATGGTGGGCCACAAGCAGGTCCAGAAGATGATCAAGCAAGGCAAAGTGAAACTGGTCATCCTGGCCAACAGCGGCCCAGCCTTGAGGAGTGCGAGATCGTTGTGAAATCGAGGAAACTTGAGCCATGTTGCCCAAACTGGTGTCCACCGCTACAGTGGCCATAACATCGAATTGGGCCTGGCGTGTGAACAGTACTACTGAATGTGCACACTGGCCGTCATTGGTCCAGGTGATTCTGAGAGCATTAGACTAGCATTAGAATAAGGTGACCAGATTTTAGCATTGGTAAAGCGGGACACCATTGATAAAACTCATATCCTGGCGAAATAGCCACATGGCAGCTGAAAACCGTCTACCCTAGCTTGTCGTGCATTCTTTCCAAAAATCGGGACTTTTTAAAAATGCTGTGGGACCCGGGACAAATTGTTAAACATCGGGACTGTCCCGCCAAAAGCGGGACGTCTGGTCACCTTACATTAGAAGCATGCCAGAACACACGGGTGAAAAAGAAATCCAGCAATGTTTCTTTAATAAAGCTGGCCAGAGCTTGTTTTAAAATAAAAAAAAAGAAAAGAAAGAAAGAAAATGCATTCATCATTAACAGAGACGCTCAGAGCAGAGCTGATTAAAAGACGGAGGAAAGAAAGAAAACCCATATTTGGGTGGAATCGGGTCTTGGGGGTAGGGTGCGGAGACGTGTAATTTCTCGGAGAGAAAGATAACCATGGTTAGAGTTGGTAGCTTCAAGTACAAATTGCCGAGGAGGTCGAAGACCTCGGTACCCCTACGGGAAGATGCAGGCAGAGGTGAAGGTATCCGATGAGTTCAATGTCAGTTCTCATTCGCTCACTGCCATCAAGTTGATCCCAACTCACAGCAAGACTATAGGACAGAGCCTTTGGGGTTCCGAGACCTTCAATCTTCACAGTTCCATACCTTCCTCCTGTGGAGGTTTCAAACCACTCATCTGGTGGGTAGCAGTTCAATGTCACCCACTACGCCACCCAAGCTCCAAGTTCTCAAAGATGCTCTGGGTTTTGTAAGCATCTCGGCTCCTGGCTGTGATGACCACCATCCTGAGGGTCAAACTAAGTACTAGCCAGCCTCACTGTGGCACCAGGAGCCAGCATGTGGCTAGCAAGGCCCACCGTCTTGCAGTATACACGCAGAGCCTTGGGCAGGAGCTATCGGCCGATTCCTGTGAGCCCAGGTCAGGTGAAAGGGACCACTCTCATTTCTTTTCTTTTTTTTTTAAGATCATTTTATTGGGGGTTCTTACAGCTCTTATAACAATCCATACATCAATCGTATCAAGCTTATTTGTACATAGGTTGCCATCATTATTTTCTAAACATTTATTTTCTGTTTGAATTTTAAAAGGCTTGGTATCAGCTCCTCTTTTTCCCCTCTCTCCCCTG